GGAACTTGTTCTCTCTCAGCTTGTTATTGAGTCAGAATTGCTCACCAGGTGCTGAGGCTCATGCCTATAATCTTAGCACTTTGGGAAGCTGAGGTGGGTGGATCCCATGGGCCCAAGAGTTTGAGACCAGCCTAGGCTAAATGGCAAAACCCTGTCGCTACAAAAAATACAAAAATTAGCCAGGCATGGTGGTGCATGCCTGTTGTTTCAACCACTCGAGACTCCAGCCTGGCCAACAGAGTGAGATGCTGTCTCAAAAAATAGCAAAGCCATCTTTCACTTCCATAAAAAGTCCAAACATCTCTGCAACATGCCTGCAGATATTCTTGAACAAGCCAGCTCTTTTTCAAAGGTGCAATTTCGATTCCCCATCAGGCAATTTTCTATTGAGTCTTGATAATGTATTCAACGTTAATAAACATTTATTAAGCTTCTCCTATGTCCCAGAAACTGCTAGGTAAGAGAGCTGAATAGGCAGTCCTGCCTCCATGGTACACAAATTCAAACGTAACTATCTATCTCTACACAGGATTTTCTGAATTGAAAAATAAGTAACACTTTCTAATTCTCATTAGCTTGAAAATTGAAACTTTAGATCTATTAGTAGAATACTGTAACATATTTTATGCTAATTCATTTTTTAACTTGTTATTGAATTTGAGAGATCTTCTTCCATTTTATTACTAAATATGGAATAGATGACTGACCCCATTTGGTTTCCATTTCAATCAGTGTTACTTATACTTGTGCCTATATTTTCCCATTTAAGAAAATCTCTTATCTTTGTATCATGTGCTTTATTTCTACATTAGGAAGATGTTAAATGTTTAAAATTATTTCATTTTTATAACACATCATCTTAAATATAATGCATAAAATGAGCAAGTATACTAAGATAGCTTGGTTTGCCTTTATATGTATTACTAATCAGTTCAATTGTAATGTTTATAATGTATCAACTTTAAAATGTAAGCTAATGTATTAGTAACAGCTCCAAAATATTCCTAGGTGGGTACATAGTAAACCTCAAAAATTAAGTTTTGTTTTTGTTTTGCTTTAAAGAGATAGGGTCTTTCTCTGTCACCTAGGCTTGAGCTCACTGCTGGGCTCAAGTGATCCTTCCACCTCTGTCTTGCAAGTATTTGGGACTATAGGTATGTACCATCATAGCCAGGAATCTGGCTAACTAAACAAATTCTTTTTAGAAATAGGGTCTGGCTTTATTCCCCAGGCTGGTCTTGAACAACTGCCCTTAAACAATCCTCCTTCATCAGTCTTCCAAAGTGCTAGGATTGCAGGCATTAAGTCACCATGCTCAGCCTAAAGCTTTTATATTTGCTTGAACAGATTAAAAACTTATGTGTAAGTTAATAGGCCTCTCACCCACCATTCCCAAAAAGACCTGGGTTGATGACTGAAGTCTACATACCCAGAGACTGTTCTCAATGAGCCACTGGGATTCTAAACACCTCATACTCTGCTCACTGTTTCCCTGAGATCTGCAGCTCTTCTGCCATTTTAGTGATGCCATGTCCTAAGGATCCAGACAATCATAGTCCTCCTCAGCTTTCAAGAGAATTTACTTTTTTTCTTAATCATTATACTTCTATAGAAACACAAAGCCTGAATTATATTATAAAGTCCAAATTTGTTTAGACTCTTTAAGAACTTTGTATACACTCCCTGAAATATAGTACAGAAAGGCAATAAGGCATCATCTAGGTCTAGGTGAAAATCATGGATTCAGTTGCCAGCTTGTCATCTGGGTTTGAATCCCAACTCTAGCACTCACCAGCAGTGTGACTTGAAGTAATTTTAACTCTGTACCTTATCTTTCTTATCTGTAGAACAAAAATCTCAATTGTATCTACCTCACAGGTTGTTTGTGAGAATATAAATGAGTAGATAAAGGGTTTAGAACAGTGCTCAGCATGTAGGAAGTGCTTTTAAAAAAGGATATTAACCATTATTTTAAGATGGCCAACTGACCAGACTTCTCAGAATAATCCCCAATCTTGGAATGAATCAACTTCCCTGTTGAGAAAACAAATCAGCCTAATGTTCAAGGCCCTCTGTTTAGGCTAACAATGTACTTTTCCCTGTACATTGTACTTTGGATTCCAGCAGCAAAGCTGGTTCCTATGCTATCCTCTTGTGACTTTCCTGCTATGGAGTCTTATTCTCAGATCTTGACCCCATGCCACCTACGAATTAGAAGTGAAGAATGGCTATTCCTTGAGGAAAAGTGGGCCCCAAGTAGAGATCTATCCCTTTCTTCTACTTCTCTCAGCCCCAATTCTCATTTCTCCAACTTGCAGGTGAAAGACATCCTTCAGAATTTCTTCTTGCTTAGGCAAGCTGGGTCAGTGCATAGTGCCTTCTCAACATATGGTTCAAATCATTATGTCATCAAGTTTGCAGTATGCGTTATGATCTCTCTTTAGTCTTGAGACAAGACCTTCCCTCAAGTTTGTTATATTTGTTCACTGCAGACATATTTCAAGTGGAGAAATTCAGTCAACACATACTCCCTGTAGTCGTCACCTAATTTTTTAATGCCAAACATCTAGGCTGTCTTTCCCTTTGTAGAACTGTAACATCCCTACCCTTAGCCCAATTATTGAGGTTAATCTGCCTCTATAGTTGGGTTTCAGGGGAGATCTAGAATAATCCAATGCATGTATTTTAGCCCCTTGATCACCTGTACTAACCTACAGGAACTGAATGAGCTTGAAATTGCTCTGGTCTACCACATAGAGCCTAAATCCAGAAGAAACAGATCCTGCTGATAGAATTTGAGCTCCAAATCAAGCTAGGTTCACAAAAACCAAAGTTGGATTTTGATATTTTTTTGTGTGTTCATTTAAATGTAGGTATATAAAAAACAAAGCCAAATGTGAAAGCCTGCCTAGGAAAAGCTGGAGTTTGCTTATTGTACTCTCTCTGTTAAAATATTCCCTTTAGACAAACCCATGCTGAAATAGGATAGGCCCATTGCTAGTAGCACCCATTCCAATCACCAGGGCAGTTTATTAGCCTTTTATCTCTACTGAGATAATACTATCAGTGGTCCCTGAAAGCTGGTCTACACCCTGGCACATGTCAGTGACAACATTTCCACCAGGCCACAGCATTCTTCTCAGATAAGTTCTACTACTATGTGACAGTGAGCAAAGCCTGAGCCAAGTCCTAGGTATGAGTGGTGTTGGGGCTCTGAACATGATACCCCCAAGTATGGTGCCTTAGCATGCTGAGAGAGACTAGAAGGCCTCAGATGCAGCCTCAGAATGAAGGTCTCTGACCTTCTCCTACCTTTCTGCTTCTTGCTCCACTCTTCTCCAAAGTAAGTCATAAAACCTGGAAGTATTATTCCAACCTTCCCCCACCTTTCTAGGTCTTAAGACCCTCCTTTAATAAGGGTCCTGCCGCATACCCAGGAAGAAGGAAAGCTACACAGAAAGACCAAGAAAGACCTGAACAGATAAGCCCTGTGGGTTTCTTCAGTATATTACCACTAGATCACACCCATTTATCCAGTCATGTTTCTATGTGATGGACCATTCCTCCATTCTTCATGAGACATAAGAATGAAAACACAGTTTTCCCTGCATATTTGAGTCTTCATTTCTGAAGGCTCTCATCATAAAACCTGGATTAAATTTGTTGTGCTTTTCTCTTGTTAACCTGTCTTTTGCTATAGTAGTGTTGGCTGTGATCCTTATGATGGATGAGGAAAAGTATCACATCAATCTGCCCCTACAGCGGCCACTGAGAGAGGCTACTCTGAAACTCCCATCCTACTCTCACCAGTGAGGCAACAAGTGTAAACTCCCCCCACCCCGCCCGCACCGCCCCAATTATTCAGGGAGAAGGCAGGAGAAGCAACTGAAGGCATGGAAGCCATTTCTATGGCTTTTAGGTGTGCTCAAGATATACTGTAACAGTATTATGTGGCTTCCACTTTAGCCAAAATACCTAAATGCCATCAAATTTACACAGATTACAAAAAAAAAAAAAAAAACTTAGAATAAATTGCCATTTGAACTCTAGTCTGTGGTGAACAGACCCCCAAGATCACAAACCTCTGGACCACAATTAAATGGTAATTAGAAATTGTTTATAAATTTCTACATTTAAATTTTCAAAAATATATCCTAGTAAAATGCTGCCAACTTTCTTCTGATGTGAAGTATTGTCCTTTATTCTAATTATAGATCTCTCTTGATGTAAGATAAAAATATTCTTTTTTTTGACATTAGATTGATAGTAAGATAGAATTTATTTTGTCAAGTACATGTAAAAAAATTGTCAACCTTAGGTTGGGCCAGTCCTTTTAATTTTTTAATATTGAGTCCATATTAACATTAAGTGGTCTAAAAGCTTGGAGACCACTGAGACACAGTGCCAGCTGAACAAATTTCCATTCCCAGTGCTAGCCATAAATTACCCATGCTTGACATTTAAAGAAAAGTAGCAAATTATCTTTCATTTTTAAAAGAACACATTCTCCTTTATACTTTTCCCTAAGATTTTAATTAAAATACAGTAGTTCTCCCTTATCTGTGGGGGATGTTCCAAGACCCTCAGTAGATGTCTAAAACCTCAGATAGTGCCAAATCCTATACAGACATTTTTTCCCCCACACATAAATATCTATGATAAAGCTTAATTTATGAATTAGGCACAGAAAGAGATTAACAACAATAACTAATAATAAAATAGAACAATTATAACATGCTATAATAAAAGTTATAAATATGAAATGTTTCTTTCTCTCTCTCAAAATATCTTGTACTGCACTCTACCCTTTTAATATTTTTGGACCACAGTTGACTGGGGTAACTGAAACATGGGTAACTGACAGGGTGGAAAGCAAAACTGTAGATAAGGATGGACTACTGTGATTGAAAGAAGTAAACCACAGGGAATGTTACAGAAATAACCAAAGATTACAGGCAGACAAGAGATAATGAGAATTATTTTAAAAAGACATACACAACAGAGAAGAAAAAGAAACCATTTTAATATACACTATTTGTACATTAATTATGAACCGTGGCAGTAAAAGCTTTCCGAACATTGGCAAGAAAAGCCGAAAAATTGTTGGTCTTCCTTACATTCTCTTGAAATTCTGTTAGGCACTCAAGATGAGGGGCACTATCTGACACTAGAAAAAAAAAACACAATTAGAATGAGACTTTTTACGGCAGAGAAGCATTTCTAAATTAGATGCTCTCATTTGATTTGAATGTCAATCATATTTTAATGAAATTCTTTGAGTGTAAAAGAATACACTTGATTATCATATGCCAACTATCTTTTGGACCCTTCCTTTGTTTAATCTCTAAATATTCAAATCTTACTATACTATAATCTTGCTTTAAATTTAAACAGATGGCAATCAAGGATTAAAGAGTTTAGTGATACAGTTTAGTGCCCATCATCTTAAATCTACATGTTTTAACTATTTAAACTAGTTTTTTTTTTTAACTGTTAAGTCATTTTTTTTTTCTGCAAAACTTTGGTCTGACTGACTTTTCTTTTCTGACCACTGGGTTTTTTTAAAAAAGAACAATTTCTTTTTTCTTGAACTCCCAACCTCTGGTGATCCGCCCACCTCAGCCTCCAAAGTGCTTGGATTACAGGCCTGAGCCACCACGCCTGGCCCAATTTTTTTTTTTCTTAGATAGAGTCTTGATTTGTCACCAAGGCTGAAGTACAGTGGAGCGATGCAATCTCAGCTGACTGCAACCTCCACCTCCTGGATTCAAGCAGTTCTCTTGCCTCAGTTTCCCGATTAGCTGGGATTATAGGCACCTGCGAACATGCCCACCTAATTTTTTGCATTTTTAGTAGAGACAGGGATTTGCCATGTTGCCCAGACTGGTCTTGAACTCCTGACCTCAAGTGATCCAGCCACCTCTGCCTCCCAAAGCGCTGGGATTACAGGAGTGAGCTACCACGCCCGGCCTGAAAAAGGAATAATTTTCAATGCCCATCCTTAATAGCTTACAATTATGGAAGAAATATCTAGCATTTTCCAAGTGAAATGGCAGGCATTAGAAAATGTGGTTGCTATTCCAAGAGTGGTATTTACAAGGTCTATTAATCAAATGAGCCTCAAAGTCACAAATAAGAGTATTGTCCTTGTATGTAGTTGTACCAGCTGGTACACTGGGACAAGTCTCCAGTGAAGGTGGTCAAAGGAAAAGAAATTTAACCATTATCAGCTTTCCAGCTCTCTGGTACAGATTGCTTAGGAAACAAGGTCCATGACCACAGTAGAGAAACAACAGCAAAGGGTCTCTGGTCCAAAATATATCCTGTATATTCTATTTTAACTTATTATCTATATACTATTAGACTATACCATAAGAGAATATACTATTTAGAGAAAATTGAAAAGCTAGATAAGAGGTTTTTTGGGGTCTTGCTTTTTAAAATCTAGCACTAACTGGATTGGAAGATATTTACTTAGAGAGAAAAAAACTCCAAACATCTGTATATGAAATAGATTCTCAAAATATGAATTCCCTAGGAATAGGAACTGAGTCACAAGGGCACAGCACTGTGCCAGATTAGCAGTTCATGTGAGTGTCTTTCAACTACAAAGGCTGTAAGATGACAGCATAGGTGTAATGAGCTGAGAACCAATTTTATGAATTCCAATAAGTTAAGGATTCCTTACACAGGGGCATTAGAAGAATAAACAAGAGATAAACATATCTCTTTTGTCTTCTTGTTCACATTATTATCAATGACATATGTTCCTTATAAATCAAAGGCCTTTCGGCCAGCTGCAGAATCAGTAACTACCCTTTATTATCAATGTCTGAGACTTCCAGGATGAAACATTTTTTCAAAAATATATTTTTGGAAAAATTATTAAATTCTGGTGACTTTATATTCGATTTTAAAATCATCTACTTGGATGAATTCTAATATTCACAGTTAAGCAACCATATTCTTTAAAGCTTCAGCTTTTAAAAAAGTTTAAAAGTTTAAAAGGACAATTCGTATTTGCACATGAATGCAATGATCTTTGCTTTTCAGATTTTCCAGGCACTGTGGCACTGTGCCATCCTGAAGAGATGCTTCTTGTTAAGGATCCTAGATAATATCTATAAATCAAGACTATATTCTCTTCCTTTAGAAGACCATAACCCAAAAAGCAAGACTAAAAAAGGAAGCAATTCCTCCATATTACTTTATATTCTGACTGAAATAACATTTTGCGATGCCAATCTTGAAAACCAGTTAAGAGATGTTAGTACATACCTTCATAGTCCCTTGCTTCATTTAGATGTAGGGAAAACATAAATGGGCTCTCAGGATTCTTAGGGTCAATATTAGTGAATATAAACTGCAATTTCTCACCTGAAAAGAGATTAAACTATTTAGTGTCAAAGCTTTCAGTGGAGATATGCTTTCTTACTCCATCTTTGATCAATATCTGCACTGCTAAATATATACAGTCATGCAACCAAAAATTCTAAGTGCAGAAGTTACAGATTCGTTTTAAAATATATTATAGTTTCAATATGACATCAAAAACACAGCCAACAAAAGAAAAACTAGATAATTGGATGTTCAAATTAAAATCTTTTGTTCTTCAAAGAACACTATCAAGAGAAGGAAAAGACAACCTAAAGAATGGCAGAAAATATTTGCAAATCATTTATCTGATAAAGGTTGAATACATAGAATGTATTTAAAACTCCTACACCTAAAAACCACCCAATTCAGTAATCGGCAAAAAACTTGAATAGACATTTATCCAAAGAATATATAAAAATGGCCATTAAGTACACAAAAAGATTCTCAACATCCTTAGTCATTATGTAAATGTAAGCTGAAATGACAATGAGATACCATTTCATACCCAGTAGGATGGCAAATAAATAAATGGAAAATAACAGTGTTGGTGAGGATGTGGAGAAACTGGAACCCTAGGACATTGCTGGTAGAAATGTAAAATGGTACAGCCACTGTGAAAAACAGTTTGGCAGATCCTCAAAAAGTTTAAATATGATCCAGCAATTTCATACCTAAGTATATACCCAAAAAAAAACAGAAAACAAAGACTCAAGTAAATAATTATACCCCAATGTTCACAGTGACATTATTCATGGTAGCCAAAAAGTGGAAACAACCCAGTGTCCACCAACAGATGAATGGATATAGTATATACATACAATGGATTATTCAGCTATAAAATGAAATGAAGTTTTGACACATGTAACAACATGGATGAACCTTGAAAACAAAAGTGAAATAAGCCAGACACAAAAGGATATTATATGATTCGACTTGTATGAAATATCTAGAAGAGAAAAATTCATCGACAGAAGGTAGATTAGAGGTTACCATGGAATGGAGAAGGAAGGAATGGGGACTTATTACTTCACAGATAGTCTCTGGGGTGATGTAAAATTTTGGAAATAAATAGTGGTTTGTGGTGGTTGCACAATACTGTGAACATAATTAATCTCAATGAATTGTACACTTAAAAATGATTAAAATGGCAAGTTACAGGTTATAGTTTATCACAAAAAATATATTATCAAACAAATTTAATTTGACATTTTTCTACAGCTACCTGTACTTAAAGCTTATTTTCCAAAAAACCTGCAAGTGGCCCCAAAGACCTCATAGAAATTCAAAATGGTAGTGACAAAATGCACAAAAATTTACATACATTTTAGTCTTTTCTATAGCATAATTAGAAAATCTCAATACAAACTTTTAAAATTAAAACAAATTTTCAGAAACTTAAAAAGAAACTGTCTTGTAATCAACTATGGAAGGAAATATAATGTCAATACATTAGATTTTAAAACTGTCAACAGTAATGAGGAAGAATGAGGGAGATGCATGCCAAGGAAAACAAGATTTCATAAAATATAACTTTTAGGCAAGAACAAAGAGTTTTAACTTGGGTTTTCTCTTTCTTAAAATGTTATTTCTGACTTTGAAAGCAAGACAAAATATATTTTAAATCTAAGAATAACTTTAAAGGCTTAAAACTGACTGTTTAAAAACAAAACTAAATTAAAAAGCACCCCAGGATGACAGTAAGTATAAACTTAAGAGCTCAATGGATCAAAAATCTGAGTTGAAGTTTAATTTTCTTTTTATTAAAAACTCATTCTAACTGATAGGACCAATAGATGTATGGAAAAACAACTCAAACCGGCCAAGAAAGAAATATAATTAGTAAGCAAATGGAAAAACCCGTTTTTATTAATAATCAAAGAAATGAATTTTTTTAAAAAAATTCTATTCGTGCCTAGTCAACTGCCACAAACATTAAAAAAAAAAAAAAAAAAACCTTAAAAAATAGAAATCTGGTAACAATACAATGAAATGGGTTCTCTCATACATTGTGGATAGGTGTGCATAAAAGTTAATAGGCCAGGGCCAAGACTGCTATCCTTGGAAACTTAGAAAGCCCTGCTTGCCTGGTGAACCCTCGGCAGCTGTGGTCTTTTTGATGATTCACTAGGAGAACTCATAGGATTCACTCGGCAGCATATGGCCATACTCAGGGCTATGATTTATTACAGCAAAAGGATACAACAAAATCAGCAAAAGGAAAAAATACATGGAGTTAAAGTCCAAGGAGAACCAGGCACAAGCTTCCAGAACCTCTAATAAGCTTCGGGGAGACAACACTTCTCGTGTGTTGTCACAATATGATGCTGAAGGAATTAAACACATCCTGTTTAGCTTTACTGGGTTAGGACTCTTGAAAGCTTGTGCCAGGTTTCCTCTAGACTTAGCCCCACATGCTTTTGTTCCTTTCCTGTTCCTGTTTTGAATCCTTTTGCTGCAGTAAATCTTAGCCATGAATATGACTATATGCTAAGTCCTTCTAGTGAATCACCAAACCTGAGAGTCATCTTGGGAAGCCCAGACACAACAAACACTGCTATACATTAGTGATGTACATGTGATATACACGCAAACAGGTATAAAAATATTCATGCTTTTTATGGCCTAGCAATTCCTCTCTAGGAAACAAATTAGATGGAAACCATACAAGAAGATAAGGCTATCCTCACTAGTTTATAATAGTCCCCCCTTATGCACCAGGGAGAAATATGTTCCAAGACCCCCAACAGATGCCTGAAACCACAGGTAGTACCAAACCCTATGTAAACAGATGCTCCTTGACTTACAATGGCACTATGTGCCAATAAACACATCATAAGTCAAAAACACTGTAAAGCAAAAATGCATTTAACACCCAGATAAACTGATTATAAAGTCAAAAAATTTTAAGTTGAACTATCATAAGTCAGGGACCATCCATACTATGTTTTTTCCTACATGTACATACCTATGATAAAGTTTAAGTTGTAAATTAGGCACAGAAAGAGATTAACAACAACTAATAAAAAAATAGAACAATTACAATAATATACTGTCACAAAAGCTATATGAATGTGACTTCTCTCTCACTCAAAATATCTTATTGTACTATACTCATCTATTTAATAGCATCAGACCACGGTTGAAGGTGAGTAACAGAAACCATGAATAACAGGGGATGACTGTATGTTTAAAGCTGAAAAAACTGGCAGAATCCAAATGTTGTTAGAAGCAAAATATGTGTTAAACAATAGATAAATGGTTGAATAAATTATGCTACACTAATGATGAATTATTATACCACTCTTTAAAAATTACCATTATGAAGGCTATAAGTAACTGAGGAAATGCTAATACAATGCTGATAGGAATAATAAAAATTATTTGCATGTTGACAATCGTGCCAAAAATACATTTATTGAAATATTGAATGATAAATAACTAGAGTATCAGTAACTGTATTAGAAAAATTTAAAAACTGTAATTTTTCCTATTTTCTAAAAAGTTAATGTGGTCATTATTTCAGTTGAAAATATTCTTAAAATTCTCCTCTACTTAAGAAAAGACATACTTTTCTAATCTACTATGCTTTATTTATATTAACAAACTTACCATAAATTTTTCGAATTTCTAGTCCAAGTCGATCTTTATACAAGTCTGCAGATTTCTGCAGCCTTTTCAACCTCTCTGCATTTGCTTTATTAGCAGTAGAAATAGCTGTGATTGAAAAACATACAAATGCAAATGTTTTAAATGACAGTAAATTAATGCTTGCTGAGTTAATTTTTTAAACTTAAAATCAACTATAAAATGATGCCAAGCCTCTGAATCTGCTTCCGCTTACTGTTTCTATATCTACCAATTGAAGCTTCTGTTCATTTTCGTTGGAAGGAAAAACTGCTCAAGAAAATGTATACAGATAGTGAAAAGAATAAGCTTTGTTTTACTTTATTATGTAGTAGCATGAATAAATAGGCCAGGGATTTGTATGGCTAGCATAGAAATAGACAGACTTCCTTTATACTATTGTGTTTTTTCTAGATAACCAATTGTTTCATAGGGAAATGTTCTATTCCTTTAAGCATAACTATTTCTTATGAGAAGTCAGCCTTATTTCATGCTAGTTGAGTTTTTTTCTTTTCTTTTTTTAAAATTAGCACAACAATCCCTAAGCATACTTTAAAGTAGCACAAGAGCCCCTAAGTAATGAGAAAAATAATTTCACAGTTTAGACTTGGATAAGAACTCCACAAGAAAAAAGCATTAAACTTTGCTATTTTCAGGAGATTTGAAGAATATATTACCTAGTTTGTGAGAAAACAGGTTCCTTTCTAAAAGCTGCATTCATTTGAATATGAAAGTTCTTTATACAAAGAGATTTTGCAGCATAAAAAGAGTGCTTAATATTACTTGGCAGAGAATGTATGGTCAATAAATACTTGTTGCAAAAAGTACACAATGGCTTGTCCAAAGCAAATTTTATTTAGGGATACCATTTCTCACCCTGCTTAATTAAACCCTCATATCAATTTCATTATTACTCTGATTATGTTAAAAATCACAAGAGAAGGCCTTTTAAGTAAGACAAAAGAAAATAAAACCGAGCTAGCTTGCTTTAACGACATCTTGCAGAGATAAGTGGCTAGTGTGCCCTGAGGTACTGTAATCCATTTTTAGCAACGAACTGGAACAGGCAACATGTACTTAATAATGGTGAACTGTCACCACTTTAAATTTTAGATCAGTATGTTTACAACAGGAAACTTACTTTCCTTCTTCCTAGAATATTCTTCCTTAAGATCCTGGATATTTGCAGTCAGTACTTCCAATTCTTGCTTTTTGTCTTTTACTTCAGCAATCAATTTTAACAAGTTATCTTTTTTTTCTTGAATGACTTTATTTTGCCTGCTGATCTCTGTAAGAAGCACAAGGTATTAGTTAAAATATGCTTTGCTCTCTGACATGTATCTAAGAAAAGACCAAAGTTTACTGACTTCCATAAAAATCAGTAATGTTCTGATTGATAAGCATTTTCTAATGATTCAAAAATTATAAAAGACAAAAAAGAAAAAAATTCTATTCTTTGAAAAAATGAGATATAAATGCTTCTTAAAATGAGAATACCAAATTAAACCAAAAAACAGAAAATCAAAAGCTCATGACCCTTGCAGCTCCCCACTCCAAATAAGTACAGAAATAAAAACTACCAAGAAAGATAACCAAACTCTATTTTTTATTTTATTTTTATATTTTGCTGAAACAGGGTCTCGCTGTTGCCCAGGCTGGAATGCAGTGGCATAACCACTGCTCACTGCAGCCTCCTACTTTAGCCTTCCAAATACCTGGGACTACAGGCACACATCACACCATGCCTGGCTAATTTTTTAATTTTTTTGTCTCACTACGTTGCCCAGGCTAGTCTCAAACTTGTAGGCTCAAGCAACCCTCCTACCTCAGCCTCTCAAAGTGTTGGGATTAGCAGTGCAAGCCACCACGCCTGGCCAACAACCAAACTCTAGAAGATGGCTTTACACAGTGCTTTGAGGAAGAAGGTTCACTCTAATGCTATATAAATTATTTTGGAACATACCAAAAGACAGAAATAAGTGAAGGAAGACAGGTGGGCAGGCAAAGCTTACAATGCAAGCATAATTCTAAAATGAAAACAAAAAATTAAAGATAGCACTGGCCCTCTGCCCACAACCATATAAACTAATCTCACTTAAAAACATTAGGTACAAAGATGCTCAATAAAATATTAACTTACATGAAAAATAATCTACTAAGAGCAAATATAGTTTATTCTAAGGATTTTATATACTGAAGGTATATCAGGAAAATCCATCACATGAATAGGAATTGAGGAGACATTTCATATAAATTCAGCATCTACTCCTGATACTGACTCTTAAACTACAAATGGAAGGACATTTCTTTAACAATGCAGAAGCAAATCAAAAACCTTTCAAGTCCCATAATAAATATTTGGCATTTCCAAAAGGAATAAAATAGATGCTGGCTAGAACTGTTATTTAATATTTTCACTATAAGTTTCTGGCCAACACAAGATATTTAACTAGTAAAACTATAAGAAAAAAAGAACTATTTTCATTATATATAGACAATAGACATCTATCTAGAATACTCAGAAAAATCTACTGAAAATCTAGCAGAATTTGTGGTACTACACACCAAGAAAATCAATACATAATACCAGTGATTAATATATAGGTGAGAACAGATGTTTATACTAATATTAATAATGGCAATATTAGTTTTTGCTCTGTTTTTACTGGTTTTATTAGTTTTTGCCATTCTGTGCTATTTTTAAGTACCGTGTTATTTTTAAGTACTGGCATACCTTGGAGATATTGCAAGTTCTATTCCAGATCACTGAAACAAAGAAAATATTGCAATAAAGCAAGTCACAAATGTTTTGGTTTCCCAGTACATAGAAAAGTTATATTTATACTATATTGTAGTCTATTAAGTATGCAATAGCATTATAAAAAAACCCAGTGTATATAATTAAAAATATTTTATTGCTAAAAAGTGCTAATAATCATCTGAGCATTCAGCAAGTTCTGAACTTTTGCAGAGGGAGGGTCTTGCCTTGATGTTGATGGCTGCTGACTGATCAGGGTGGTAGTTGCTGAAGGTTGTGGTGGCTGTGGCTATACTAAGACTACAATAATGTTTGCAGCATCAATCAACTCTTTCATGAATGATTTCTCTGCAGCATACATACAATGGTGCTTGACAGCTTTTACCCCTGGTAGAACTTCTTTCAAAATTGGAATCAGTCTTCTCAAACCCTGCTGCTAATTTATCAACTAAGTTTATGTAATATTCTAAATCCTTTGTTGTCAAACAATGTTCACAGCATCTTCAACAGGAGTGGATTCCATTCCATAAAACCACATTCTTTGCTCATCCAGAAGAAGCAACTCCTTACCCATTCAAGTTTTATCATGAGATTCCATGGTTTTAGTGACCTCTCTCTAGCTATGAAAGTCTTAGATGGCATCTTCTTCCAATAGAAAACTGTTTCATATACATCAAAAATCTGTTCATCAATGATCTTAGTGAGATAACTTGCTGTAGCTTCTACATTATTAAGCACTGCTGCTGCTTTCCTTAAACGTCATATACCAACTTCTGCTAGCTTCAAACTTTGCTTCTGAAACTTCCTCATCTTTCTCAAGTCTTCATAGAATTGAAGAGGGCTAGGGTCTTACCCTGGATTAGGCTTTGGCTTAAGGGAATGTTGCAGTTTGTTCTTCTATTCAGGCCACTAAAACTTTCTCTACATCAACAATAAGGCTGTTTCTCTTTCTTATCCTTCGTGTGTTCAATGAATTAGCACTTTTGCTAACTGGCACAAGAGGCCAAGCTTTTATCCTGTCTCAGCTTTGACACACTTTCTCACTAAGCTTAATCATTTCTAGCTTTTGATTTAATGTTAGAGACCTATGATTCCTTTCAGTTGAACACTTAAGAGGTCACTATAGGGCTATTCATTGCCCTAATTTCAATACTGCTGTGTCTCAGAGACTAGGGAGGCCCAAGGAGAGGAAGAAGGACAGAAATGGCTGGTCAGTGGAGCAATCAGAAGTCACTCAACATTTATCCATAAAGTTCGTCATCTTATATGGGTGTCATTCATGGCACTTAAAACAATTACAATAATAATGTCAAAGATCACTGATCATAGAGCACCACATGAAATATAATAATTACAAGTTTGAAATCTTGTGAGAATTACCAACATGTGGCAGACATGAAGTCAGCATATGCTGATGGAAAAATGGTGCCCACAGACTTGCTTGACACATGGTTGCCATTAATCTTTAATTTGTAAAAATTACAATATCTGTAAGTGCAATAAAACAAAGTATCCATGTATCAAAATACTGCTTTTTACATCTGTCTCACATACTGGCCAGCACTCATTACTCCTTCTTGGCTTTAATCCCTCTACCATCCCTGCCTTCCCCATGACCTTGTCACTATCTGTACAAGTTCTTCTTGCCCTAGCGCTCTTAAACACTCAGCTTCTGCAACTACCCACTCCTTTCTCACACATATGCTCAAAATAAAAACAACAATGCCTGTGCATAAACCTGGTCAGACCTCTCTGCTGGGAAAGGAGTAACAATGGCAGGGCCATTTCTTCCTCTGTTTGTTGGAAGAAAGATACAACTTCTGCAACTTGGGGCCCATTGCCCAGAGATAGTGTCCCCAAAGTGCCAATCAAAGGGCTAAATAAGGCAAGAAGGCACAAAAAGCCTAAGAGCTCTAGGGCAGAGATTACTGAGGTCAAATAAGTAATGCCAGTAGAGCTCATGTGGTGCTTTACAATATGCTTATAAATTTTTGAATTAGATTTAGTTTTACTAATACTTAAATGAAATCGAAACACTTTAAAATCAAATGCCAATTAATAATACCAGTAGTCTAGAATTGTATCAAATAAACCAAACTATCTATACTGTCATTTAATTCCAGTATCAGAATTATAAGTAAATATATGCTCTAAGAATGAGTAATTTTTTTCTCAAAGTTAAACAAGAGTTAGTCCACCACCGAGTTTATGAAGACTTTAAATGCCATAAATCTTCAAAAGAGAAATACACTATAATCTGTTTCCCAAATTGAAGTGAGCAAGAATTCTCAGTGCTTGAACAACATCTCTCAAGACAAGCACTCCTCAGGCAACAGGGAAATCTTGTTTATAGAGGCAACAAACAGAAAATTCAGAATCAACCTAGATCAAGAAATATGTAGTAGGCTCTGTTTAAAAAAAAAAACTGCAAAGCTTGTCTGAGACACATATTTGATCTGGATATATAAAGAGATATTTTATGCTTCTAAATATTATAAGAGACATGCCAGGCCGGGCACAGTGGCTCACGCCTACAATCCCAGCACTTTGGGTGGCTGAGGCAGGTGGATCACGAGGTCAAGAGATCGAGACCATCCTGGTTAACATGGTGAAACCCTGGCTCTACTAAAAAAATACAAAAATTAGCTGGGCTTGGTGGCGCACGCCTGTAGTCCCAGCTACATAAGAGGCTGAGGCAGAAGAATTGCTTGAACCCAGGAGGCATAGGTTGCCGTGAGCGGAGATCGCGCCATTGCACTCCAGCCTGGGTAACAAGAGCAAAACTCCGTCTCAAAAAAAAAAAAAAAAGAGACACGCCAAACAAATGTTGACATATTTTGGAAGTTAATATGATAAATGAAATGCCAAATCAATGTTCAAGAGGTTCATTATTTTCTAAACAGTGCTGAAATCCAAAACAAATTCTTTAGTCTTTTACTACTTTTTTAAAGAAGAGGAAAAAGACTCAGCAATTCAGTAACTTGCCCAAAGCTGCATTTGCTAGGATGAAATTAATAAGACTGCATTCAAACTCAGGTCTTGACTTCAAAGGCAATGCTTTGCCTATTAAACTATTCTCCTCCAACAATGAGTTACCATTTTAATCTCAAGAGGAAGACACAAATACAAATTCGTAAGGAAAAAAACATAAGAGAGAGAAAAAGATGAAACACAGAATGCAGATTAATAAATATGAAAGATAACCTCAGATAAATCACAGAAATGCAAGTAAAGCAGTAAAATTTCAATTTTCATTTATTGCAACAATGTTTACAAAAATAATGACATCTTGAGAGGAATGCAAAATGCTAGGGTCCTTCTGGAAAATATTTTCGACATTGTAAAATAAAAGAGCCTTAATATTCATCTCCTTTGATCCAGCAATTTCATTTTTACAAAGTTACCATAGGGAAATAGGATATGTGCAAATATTTATATATAAAAATTCTTTTTCAGTATTTATAATGAAAAACTGAAAACATCCTCAATGGCTAACAAGTAAATGATCTTTAAAATACGGTAGGTCAGGCCGGGCATGGTGGGTCATGCCTGTAATCCCAGAGCTTTTGGAGGCCGAGGCGGGTGGATCACAAGTTCAGGAGTTTGAGACCAGCCTGGCCAATATGGTGAAACCCTGTCTCTACTAAACATATAAAATTAGCCGGGTGTGGTGGCAGGCGCCTCTAATTCCAGCTACTTGGGAGGCTGAGGCAGGAGAAACGTTTGAATCCGGGAGGTAGAGGTTGCAGTGAGCAGAGACCATACCACAGCACTCTAGGCTGGGCAACAGAGCAAGACTCCATCTCAAAAAAATAAAATAAAATGGTAGGTCAGTAAGATGGAATGTATTTTCAAAAAAATTTAGTTATGTGGGAAAGTACTCTAAAAGTTGAAAAAAAAAGATAGTTATATCAATACCATGAACATAATTATGTTAAAAATCTACACAGCTCATGAAAAATAAAAGCTAGAAAGTCATTTGGTTAAATGTGGTTCTCAACATTACAGGTGATATTTTTTGTTTACTTTTTTGTATGTTCTAAGAATATGAACATGATCACATATATTATGTCAAGTATAATTTAAAAATAAACTTACTAGAAAGAAAATGCTACCATTTAAAGAAAAGTATTAAGTAGAATTGTGCTACACAGGAAATCCAGATTGAAGTCAAAGGTCTCAACTCTGGTCCAGCTCATCAGTTGTTACCCAACGACCTTGGTCAAAATCACAACTTTTGAATCTCTTTTCCTCATTTGTAAAATGGGGATAACAATTGCTACTCCATTCACTGGGGTTAGAGTATCCAGTAATAATAATACAAAAAGTTTTAAACTAGTGACACATAAATACCACATATGAGAATGTTTTTATTACAACATTTGAAGAGCTGTGTGAATTTGTGGCCAACAGAAATATAAGGGCCCTTGACGCTGTGTGATTATTATTGCATGTGTACACAGTTAGCTGTCTTATTCCCAGGACGGACATTTCAAACTTGCACTCCTATTTGCGTTTTCACTCCGGTGCAGGTCAGTATGGTACAATGGAAAGAACACAGACACTTGGTTGTAATCCTAGATCCTCTATCTACTCCCAGACCTTAGGCAAGTTTCTTAACCTCAGTGAGCTTCAGTTTCCTCATTTGTAAAACAGGGATCATCTTTGTCTTAGACAGACTTCAGGATTTATAATAATTTAAAAGCCTGCCCATAGTAAATGCCTCTCAATTTCAACAGATGATTTTCCCTCTTGTGATAATTAGCATTTATGGCTCCAGAATTTTAGGCTATTTTGTTTTCTGCAGTATCTTCCTAGAAGATTACCTGGTATAGAGCAGTAGCTCAACAAATATTTGATCAGTGAATGAATTCCCTCCACCTTTCTTATTCCCAAAATAGTATCTATCTCAGTCTTTACCTTACTGCATCTACCTGTGACTTCCAATGTTGACAACACCCTTTCTTGTTTATTTCCTCTTTCAGTTTTGGTGACCTTCCCTCTTACGTCCTCTGTTCTCCAATTACTAATTCTATCTTCCCTGGTCCTTTTCATTTACCCCTCTCTCAAATTAAAGAGGAAAGGTAATGCTTTGAAGATGAGTGAAGCTTCTGGAGTTAATCTGATGATGTGGGGCAAATCACAATCTCTCTGGGACTGCAATATCAGTAAAATAGGAATAATAATAATAAATAACAGCAACTCCGGAGAACTGTCATAAGGACTGAAGGAAATGGTCAATGTGAGGCATGTAGCACATTAGCTGTCACACAGTAATGAGTAAATAAATATTATTACTGTCCAAGGCTATCTTCTTTTACTCTACATATTCTTCCACAGCTTCAACCCCCCAAATACACTACAGACTCACAAATCCCTATCTTCAGCAAAGACCACTCTCCTGGCTGGCCTCCATATGAATATATACATTGCCTACCAGACATCACCACCTGAAGACTCGCTGCATAATAAACTCAACATATTCACTCAACACATTTAAAATTGAACCCATGTATGTTTCCTTCCCACCCATAAAAACATGCTCCATTACTCTTTCGATCCCTTACTTAGTAAATGCATCACCACTGATTCATACTCCATGTAAGAAGGAATCAACCTAGACCACAACACACTCTCACCTTCAGGCCAACAGTCATGAGTCTAACCCCTCAGACCTGTCACGGGTGCAAGCCATCCTCATTATGTGCCTGAACTATTACACTAGATTTTTCCTTTAACTGTCCCTTTATGGGCAACAATCTTATTCCCCTCCTGTTTATTGTGTATGACTACTAGAGAGCTTCTTCTGAAATATAAATCTAGTATCGTTTTTTCAGGTGGAAATCCTATAGCAACTCTTTATCTCCTGAAAAACAAAGTCTAACCCCCTTTGCACAACATAGAATGTCCATCATCTGGCCAAACAGTTCTGCTTCCAGCCACTTCTCTGCCACTCCCCATCTACAGTGTACTCTAGCCATCCCAGAACTTATCAAGCTCTCGTGTTCCTGCCCCATTCCATGTGCTGTTCCCTCTTCCTAGAATGTAATGCTGACTCTGTTGAACGTCCCTAACCCTACTTTATGTGGTATTCTCCAAAGTAGTGTGGTATAATCAGACTGAAGCTTCAAATCATTTTCTGTTCATTATCAGCTATCTGACTTTGAGCAGGTAGCTTAACCTGTGCTTATTTCATTATAAAAATCTAACATGTAAGAATAAAAGCAGTTATCTATAATAAAAGCAGTTATACCTCTTAGGGTTGTTGTGCGGGTTCATGAGTCAATATATGCAAAGAGCTTAGAACAGGGCCTGGCACATGGTATACAGGTAATGGTTAGCTATTAAATATCCTGCAATCCTCACTGAAAAATCAAACCCTCCAGATTCTATCCTCACAGAGCATCTATTCCATTATTATACCAACAATTACAATTTTTTTTTTTTTTTTTGGAGACAGGATCTTCCTCTGTCATCCAGGCTGAAGTATAATGGCATGATCATAGCTCACTGTAGCCTCGACCTCCTGGGCTCAAGTTATCCTCTTGCCTCAGTCTCCTGAGTAGCTGGGACTACAGGTGTGCACCGTCACACCTGGCTAATTTTTCCTTAATTTTTATAGAGACAGGGTCTCACTATATTGCCCAGGCTGGTCTTGAACTCCTGGCCCCAAGCAATCCTCCAGCCTCGGCCTCCCAAAGTGCTGGGATTACTTTGGCTTGAGCCATTGCACCTGGCACGATATATTTTAATTGTGGTTTCCCCGTCTATATCCTCCACATTATTGTGAGTAAATTATACTTTACACATTGTTGTCTCCTTAGTGCTGGGCAATAGCAGTCATATGTTCACCAAATTAATTCAACTTGGGTAAATTATATTTCTGTTCAAGTATAAACTGATTTTTAAGAGAAAATATTGATAATGCTTTTAGATTTTTTGATTTTAGACTATATAGAGCATATCTTCACGCTAGAGATAATCTTTAAGAGCATACTTTGAGACTCACAGTAGTAAAATTTACAGTTCCAAACTTTTAATATTCTAATGCCTAGGGATCCCACAGAGGTTTTAAGAACCCAAACTCAGTATCACTCTTTCATACACACAGGCAAACAAAAGTGGTTTTCCTTTTTGCTTATGGTTACAGAGGGAATGAGAGAAGCAGTGAAAGGGCGTGGAAGCTTCAGGGCAGATTACAAAGTAAACGTGGGTAAAAGTCTAGCAAATAACCTACAGGGGTAATAAAGTCAGATGCTTTCATGGGCCACACAATGACTACCCACTTTGCTAATGAAAGAACATATGCCCCATGTAAGGACATTCCAGTGTGTGTACGTGTGTTTCGTGTGTGTATGTGTATTTTTTGTAGAGACGGGGTTTCACCACATTGCTCGGGTTGGTCTTGAACTCCTGGGCTCAAGGGATCCACCTACCTTGGTCTCTCAAAGTGCTGAGATTACCGGTGTGAGCCACTGCATGTGTATAAACAGTATATTCACACTTGTGCACACAAAATACACTGTCTTACTTGTATGATTTCATGATAGACATTTTATCTAAAAAAAAAAACCCATAATTTATACTTTTTCACATACGATTTTGATATTCCAGAAACATCTCAACCATTCTGTCTTCTTCCTTTAATTTCACAGACAGCTTTTCTGAAAGAGAAATTGGAGTGAACTTTGAATGCAGCTAAAATAACACTAAAAAATAAACTAGAACAGCAAAAACAGCACATTACAAGTTAACATTAGGTACCTGCAAATGCTTTGAGGGAGTCCTTGTAGGTATCTCTTAGTCCCGCCATCTGAAAGGTGGTGTCAGTACTTTTGAATTTATTCCAAAATTCATTTAGGCTTTTATCGAATAGTGCCAGTTCGTCCTCTACCATCATGTAACACAACGCTACAAACAGAATACACATTGCATTAAGAGTTGTTGAAATCAAATCAGCCACATACTGCAATCAGGTATACAGTATTTTGGCAATTTGCCATTTGCTAGAAAATAGCAACTTATCTTTAATTCTAGGTATTCAAGGGTAGAGCAAGCCATCCGGGCTTCATTGTGGTTTAGGTGCAGCAATAATCAAGGACACCTTTACCTCCTAGCGTATTGTTAGTAGGTAAGTGTAAATGCACAGGACGCTCACACGTTCTATGATTCTGGGTTCGTTTTCTCACAAGTAAAACTGTTGATTTCTAAAACATCTTTTGAAACTCTGACCCTTTCTAATCGGAGATCAACAGGATCGCCAGGTGGCGGGCCCCTCCCATAGAATAAGACCCCACACATCTACTCTGTCTCTCTCCCCAACCTCAGAACAGTAAAAGTTAACAGTAAAATAGAGAATAAGGTGGGAGTTTAGTGGGTTCCGTCCAGAATGTATACAAGTCACCTCGGGCCTCAGTATCCTCTGTAAAAGGAGTTCCCGGGAGAATCCTGGACCCACCAGTACGTTGTGACGCTAAAAACTTCCCAGGAGGACCGAAGAGATCTCCTGCAGTGAAACCCAGAACCTTTCGGGTTCGCAGCCGCCCACTCCACGAGGCTGTGAAACCCAAACTGCAACAAGATGCGCATTTCACAAACGCCGCCCCAAGTGCACACATTCCGCCCCCAAACTCACTTTCCCCTATCGTGACAGAAAGGCCGAAGACCCCAGCTCGGCGCCCACCTCCCTCACCTTCGCAGGCAGGCCTGAGTCCCGCTGCCTTCCCCACACCAGATCCGCGCCCACGGTAGCCAACAGCCGGACTCCAGACTCAGCTCCCGCAGCCCGACTAACTTCCCAATTTCAAACCTAGTGCACTTCCCGCCACCCGCCTCCAGGCGCATGCTCGCCTTCTGATTGGCCGAAAGCACAGACTCTCCATGATAGGATTGGTTAAGCTTACCCTTGGATTCTCGCGGGAAAAATGGGGAACATGGCATTCTGGGATTCGTATTTCTTTTCGGAGCAACAGCCGGAGTCTCCGCTGTTGATAGCGGAGTATTATTAATAGCACCGAAGAGCTCGCCCACTACGTCATTCGTCGCCTTCAAATAAAGATTTCTGGAACAAATACATATTTCTTGCGAAAGATATAAGCGTATCTTTCGCAAGAAATAGATCCTCTTCTTCATATTCACCTTGTAAAGTTGGCTTCAAATATGAGTGGGCAGAAACTTTCGAATAATCCTCAGAATAGGTTTTTACTGCTTACAAAAATAGTCCTTCTTTTCTGCTGCCCCAGTTTCTCTAACAACGTTTTTGAGGCCTAATAGAACACTATGTTACTATCTTGCAGAAGTGGAAGAAACTAGAACACTATCAAAATCACCTGCTATGTTCCTTGAGGACAGGGATGAGGCACAAGGTATTCAACAAGGATTTGCCAGAGTAGACAAGCTGCAGAAAATCTGTGTTGTCCAGGAACTCTGAAAGGTGACGTGGATTCGGCATTTGAATCCTTCTTGGTAAAGCTGAGGAAGAAAGAAAACTAGGGAAAAAACCTAAAGAACGTGCTCTCTGGGCGGGGCGTGGTGGCTCACGCCTGTAATCCCAGCACTTTGGGAGGCCGAGGCAGTGGATCACGAGGTCAGGAGTACAAGACCAGCTGGCCAACATGGTGAAACGCCGTCTCTACTAAAGGTACAAAAAAAATTAGCCAGGCATAGTGGTGGGCACCTGTAATCCCATCTACTCGGGAGGCTGAGGCAGGAGAATTGCTTGAACCCAGGAGTCGGAGGTTGCAGTGAGCTGAGATCTTGCCACTGCACTCCACTCTGGGCAACAGAGCAGGGCTCCATCTCAAGAAAAAAAAGAATATGCTCTCTGAAGAATGGAAAATAAAGTTGGCTAAAATAATGGAGTCGAAGTCAAAGTTATTTTCATGTTAGACTATGAGATGTTTGTGAAATTAAAGCCTCTGTTATACACCAAAAGGTCTTTACTATACTAGTTTCTTTTCATTTTCATCAGCAACACAAATGCCAACAAGAAATAAATATGTAAAAAACCAGGGGACCAGGTACTAGCCATTTTTTCTCCGATAACTAAATTAAGACCTATGAAATCAGGACAAGTTATTATGAATATTTAACACTTCACAATATATCCAAAAGTCAGCTTGCAGCCTAGAGATTGCTATTAATACAGTTAGACATACCGTTTACTGTGATAAATTTCCTTTCATTTCCAGATATTTTCCTAAGAAATTCTGATTTTTATATATCTGATAGTATTTACCTTAAAGCAAAATTTTATGAGTTGAGCACCTCAGAACTTCAGCTGATTGAGTGCTGGTACTCATCTGTAGGATTTTCACAGCCCCAAATTAGTGAAGACAGTACTGAAGAAGATTCATGGAAGGGAGCTGGCTTGGTATCATGTTGATAAATTCCTCACCGAGTTTTTACACTGGTCTTTATCAGACTGTTGAGTGAAGATTCTCCCTTTGGGTCTTCAGCTAAGGGGAGTGATTGCCCTACCAATGTGCAGTTTTTAGGGCAGCCTCAAAGTGTCCATTGCTTTTTATTTTTTCAGAATGCTCCTCCCCAACCAGGATGTGAGGGAGAAGTTTCTCTGTCATTTGTCAAAATTTTCATTTCTGAAAGGCTGGCTGAGTAATTTCACTCTAATTCCCCAAGGATAATTAGAGACAACCATCTCTTCTTTCTACTCAGTACACAGAATAGGGCCTCCAGCCTTCTCAGTATTAAAAAGGGGAAAGCAGACCCCCCCGACCTATTATTACTCACACAACTCCATCATCACCACCACCACCATACTTACCAATCAGGATTTATTGAGTTTCTTTTCTTTTTTTTTTTTTTTTTTTTTTGAGACGGAGTTTTACTCTTGTTACCCAGGCTGGAGTGCAATGGCGCGATCTCGGCTCACTGCAACCTCGCCTCTTGGGTTCAGGCAATTCTCCTGCCTCAGCCTCCTGAGTAGCTGGGGTTACAGGCACACGCCACCATGCCCAGCTAATTTTTTGTATTTTTAGTAGAGGCGGGGTTTCACCATGTCAACCAGGATGGTCTTGATCTCTTGACCTTGTGATCCACCCGCCTCGGCCTCCCAAAGTGCTGGGATTACAGGCTTGAGCCACCGAGCCCGGCCGGATTTACTGAGTTTCTATTTCCTGCCATGTACTGAGTTGAGCACTGCCTTCTCTGAGATATGTGGTCTGTGGCCCAGGGTTGGGTTTCTGCAGGGTGGGGAACAGAACAATGCCACATGTATCCAGGCTGGAGGTGCTTCTGGATGGTGGTTACAGTCTTGCTCAGATTGAAAGCTCCATTGCTCCTCTCCTGAAAACTTAATTCTTTCTCCAATGGGTGAAGGATAATGGGGTATAAGGATAAAAGATCATTGTTCTCTATTGCGCATACACTTGCTGGATAGATACTTTGCATCTTGGGGCAGAGCTAGAAATGATCATGAGTAATGCTATGGTTTAGACTCTAAGTTCCCCATCTTTAAGTATAAAGTTATCTTTATCACATTCACATTTTTACTTTCAACATCCATTCACTGAGAAAATAGAAATTATAAAAGTCACTGTGGATTCAAAAGAGAAGTCTCTTCCTGAAGATTCCAGGTTAAGAACCTACAATATTGAGAATGCTTACTGCATTTAACTGATTCTTGAACAGAAACTTTCAATGTTCTAGATTTCTGAATGGCCATGTGTCAAACACTGCAATAGATAATTTAAGAAAGCAAGTCTTCTGACAACTGCTATGAAGTACAGTATCCAAAGTGGAGTCAACTTTCAATGCCAGGTTATACCTGGACACTTTCATCTCCTTCCTAGAATTAAAAAAAATAATAAAATGAAGGAAGGGCTGGGACCTTGTATCAGTCTGTTCTCACATTGCTATAAAGAAATACTTGAGACTGGGTAATTTACAAAGAAAAGAGGTTTAATTGGCTCATGGTTCTGTAAGCTATACATAAAGAAGAGCAGCATCTGCTTCCAGGGAGGCTTCAGGAGGCTTCCAAACATGGCAGAAGGTGAATAGGGAGAAGGTACTTCATGTGCCAAAGCAGGAGCAAGAGAGGTCAGACAGAGGTGCCACACACTTTTAAATGACCTGATCTCATGAGAGCTCGCTCACTGCTGCAAGGACAGTACCCAGAGGATGGTACTAAACCATTTATTAGAAATCCAACCCCATGATCCAATCAACTCCCATGACTATGCTGGAGGTCTGATGTGGTCTGGATCTGTGTGGTGGGAGGAAGTTGCCAAATTTTATCCCCCAAAAAGAAACCATAAAACTGGACCAAATTATCCAAAACAACTATTTAAGTGACATAAAAATTGAAACTAACAGATTACAGCAAACCAAGAAGCATTTATTCATGAAAAATTACTCAAAAACATTATGCTAAGTGAAAGAAGCCGAACGCAAAAGATTACATATACTACGATTTGATTTACATAAAATAAAAAAGCCAGATTCCCAGATACAGAAAGCAGTTCAGTTTTTGCATGGGGCTGGGAGCAGATGCAGGCACTGACTGCCAAAGTGCATGAAGGAAGTTTCTGGGTGTTGGAGAAGTTCTGAAACGGGTTTTGTGTCAATTACTGGCAACTCTATAAATTTACTAAAAAATGGAATTATACATTTATAATGAGAAAGTTCATAGTATATAAATTGTAACTCAATAAAAGTTTAAAACAATTTTTTTAAAAAGATGAACAATATCAGAGCTTCAGAGGAAAAATAAGACTACATTTCCCAAACACTCAGAAAACATTCAATACAGTAAGAAAAATATCCATGTTATTTTTATTATGGTAAAATACACATAAAATAAAATTTACCATCTTAACCATTTTTAAGTGTAGGATAAAGGGATGTTGAGTGTATTCACAGCACTATGAAACCATCACCACTATTCATCTCCA